CTTGTCTCTTGGAAGGTCTCCTTCCTGGTGGCCATCATCTTGGCTCATAGAATGAGTGAATTCTGCACACTATGGATAGATCCTCCATACTTTTTGGAAAATAAAAGTAGTACTCTATATCAATCCGTCCTTTCTCCCTAAAATCTCTTCCTCCTTTCATGTAAATCAAGAAATAGTGCTCCCAGCATTCTACCCGTCACCATCTAAGGACTTTGAAAGGGTGCTGCATACACTCGATGTTTGCCACACGCTAGCTTTCTGTTGGTCTTGGAGCTCATTCCACCAGGGCGATATTAACATTGATGGCCCTCCACACGGGAATACCATTAGATGCATTCTGCTGAGCAGTTATGTTCAACACCATCCACATTCATCTACACCATCGGCTCAATGTAAGAGCCAGACAGGACTGCTCCGTTGGTTGTGTTGTGTTGCCACCCATTCTCTTGTAACAGCACCTCCCACCTCCTTTAATGGTATGCTTGCTAGTCACCCATATGTATGATGCACAGAGACTACAATGAAGAAAGGCACGTTGCATATCTGTACCTGTCATTCTTTGGGTGATAATCTGTGCATTCACCCAGCCCACCCGCCGGCCTGCATCAGTAGGTAAAGCTGATGACTTTACCTAAAGTCATCAGCTTTAGGTAGTAGGTAAAGCTGATGACTTTACCTACTATTTTAATAGCAATAGGGACAGTTCAGGACCTAGAAAAAAGGGTCAAATGTCAGTCTCCAGTTGGATTAAGAAAATGGCAGGAGCATGCCTACTTATATAATGAGTGTGGGCAGGGCTCCCGCAAAAAAATCTTGGTTTAGCTAGAGGAATATTTCCAAATGTGGCACCATGCAGACACAGCACCCATATGTGTGAATGCACTAATGACTCCTCAGACAGTTACAGGTATGCAACTTGCTATCCAAGCATTTGCATAGACAATTTTTAAGTGCTTGGATATGGTACTCTTGACCTATCTTTGCTTACAGGTTTGTTTTTCTTGCCTGTCACATTATATCAGTCACTTTGGATTTGTAAGTTTCCTAGTTAAAAACAGCTCTTTGATCCTTCCACAAGTAGGTGAAGTATTCCACCTCCCTGAGTGTTGCTCCAAAGTGATATGCTATGGGAGAAGGGTGCAGATTTCTTATTATTTCAAAGCAACATCTTGCAAAAGACAAGACTAAGGACCAACAACATGACCTGTGCAGTGGCAATAGACTGCACGGTTGCTCGCGTGAATGCTGGAATATTTCTTGTAGTTAAAGAATTGAACTGCCCTTCCATTCAGTGAGTGGCTGCGGCAATGCACAATAAATTCAAAAAGCTAAAAACAGATAGAATACATCTGTTGCAATAAAAAGATGAGCCCTTTGAAATCAAGGCTTGGACAGCTCTGCAGAAACCCATCTAGCCTCCTTAAAAGGGAGTTCACAACTGAAGTACTGCTATGCAAAAACCTTAATACTAGACTTAATACTAAACAGTAGAGTTGAAAGGAGCCAATAAAACCATCAGGTCCAACCCTCTACACAATGCAGAACTCCAGGTTAAAACATCTCTAACAAATGGCTGTCCAGGTGCACCTTAAATGCCTCTAGTGTGGAAGAATCCATGACCTCCCTAGGTGATTCCATTGGCATATTGCTCCAACAGTCCAGAAGCTTTTCCTGATGTTCAGCTGTAATCTGGCTTTCTGTAACTTGGCCATTCATGTCCTGCACCTTGGGATCCTGTCCCTCTTCTGTGTGAGTACCTTTCAAGTACTTGAAGAGTGCTATCATATCTCCCCTCAGTTTTCTGAAGGCTAAACATGTCAAATTTTTTCAGTCTCTAATCACAGGGTGATATTCCAGTCCTCTAATCATCTTTGTTGCCCTTCCCGTAATCTTTTCCAGTGTGTCTGCATCTTTCTAAAACAGGTGCACAAAACTGGATGCAGTACTCAAGATGAGGGCTATTTATTTATTTGAAACTTTTGTATACTGCCCACTACAAAGTAGTCTCAGGATGGTCTTACAATAAAACAAAATAAGGCACAGCATCCATTCTGTTAAAACCTCAATTAAAATCAGTTTAAACCTTAAAATACTGGGGAAAGATTTTGGTCTTGGCACCAGAAGAACCCCTCCAGGGAGCATATATAACCAGTAAAAGGCCTGGTATTTTTGCAAAAAGAATACAAAGTGTTTTGCATACTGAACATTTCCAGAGGCTCCACCCATCAAGGCTCCTCCAAGTGGCTTCCAGGGTTACTGGTGACGTTGCTGCCTCCGGCATGCGCCCTTCCTCAACAAGAGCTGCTTGCTCGGACTTTTGGCCTTGCCTGCTTCTTCCTCTCCTGCCCCACCCATGCCAGCTCCGAGTCCTCTCATGCATCTGTGGCTGCAGGAGCTGAGTGGCCCCTTGGACTGAGAGGGAAGGAGCTCTCTCAGCAGGGATGCTTACAGGATTCCCTTCCCACATCTTCCTCCAGCCAAGTCCCCTTCTTCCTGGCTTCCACTTTGCCTCTCATGACTGAGGCTTGGCTGGCAAGTGCACCCTGCATCCTCTGCCCCAGCTGGGAGGCTGCCCTTTCATTCACGCTTTCTCTCTACCTGCCCTTTTTGGATAGCCCCCAATTTTTGGAGTATTAGCATGTTAGATTTAAACCTCAAGGCAGTGTGTTTATTAAGATATAAATCTCATAGTATTCCATGTCCTTAGGTTTGCAACTCTGCCATCTGTTAGGTCAGATTCATGATCCATTTTCAAAAAGTTCTTTCTAGTCTGTGCATGTGGCCCATTCCTGAGAATGGTGGAGGCAGGGCTCTCTTCTCTTCTCTGCTATAAAGGTCAAAATGAAAATCCGCAGCTAACAGCACCCAGAGTGGGGTAGATTTGATGACAAAGGAAAGAGTCAGACTCCAGAACTATACTCCCCATATTTTATTTATTCAAGAATATTGAATCTACACAACTGCTGCTCTGCTAAAAATTTACTAAAAAATGTCTGAAAAATAAAGTGCTGTTTCAAAGAAATGAGAAATTGCAGATGAGCACCATGTCTTTAATAACAAATGGACTGCTGAGCTCTTCTTCATTTTAAATGAGGATAAAGCAGTTTGCATTAAAACTGTCTTGAAACTGTCTCAGTATTAAAGGAGTACAGTATTAAAAGGCACTTTGAATCCTGTCACAAGAACAGCTCAATATATCAAGGAGAGGTGGGAGAGAACAAGATAAATTCTTAAAAATGTTTTTGCCACAAAATAGTTTTAGAAAGCATGCTGAGGAGAACATGGCAACTGTGGGGGGCCTATTGTGTTGCCAAATGTACTGCTGAGAGTAGTAGGCTATTCACTGATGGTGGAATTGTTAAGTGCATGGTTACAGGAATGAGGAAATATATCCTGATAAGGTACTTTCTGTTAGTTGTGTCAATTTAGCTGCATCTACACTCACCAATCACCAGGCATGTTGAAGAACTAGAAGAGCTGCATATGTCACTGAC